GGGGGGGGGGGGACAAGGATTCTGAAGGACCTGGCTGGGGACTGTGGCTTCCCATCTGGGGGAAGAGGCCCCAGCAGCTGCCAGGGGAGGCTCAAAGCCACCTAACACGCCTGCTCCCGGGCTTGGCTGCCAGCCAACACAAGCACATTCGGATCTCCTCCAGGAGGGCTCCCCAGGGTCTGGCTGGAAGGAATCTCATTCATCTCTGCGAGTCAAAAGCCTTAGAGGCAACTCAGAATCAGTCCTGGAAGGGTAGTAAACGAAACTCCAGGTCCTTATCCCCATCCAGGAAGGGGCACATCCAGCCCTGATAGACTCTCTGTCCTCCCCCAGTGAGCAGCTCCCCTTCCCATCTGACCCTTTCTTCTTTCCTCTTCCCCCTTCCTCTGCCTCTTCTTATGCTTCATCCTTCCCCACTCCTTTACCTACTCCCGTTGTCACTATGGCTCTCCCTTCTCTCTCCTGCACTCTCTGCAGCGCGCGAATCTCTATCCTCCAGGCCACACATCCCCACCGACTTCCCTAGACTGTGAGCACTAGGAGGGCAGGGCCAGCGCACTTGCTCAACCCCCTTGGGTCTAGCTCCGGCCCCACACCAAACACCAGGCCTCGCACTCCCCTTTCTCCCTGGGTGCAGCTCTGCTTAAGAGAGAGAGAGAGAGGGCCGGGGGTTCGGTGGCCTGCCTTGCAAGCGCAAGGACGCGAGTTCAATTCACGGTACCCCCCCAAAACAAAGAGAGAGAAAGAGAGGCAGAGGCCACACAGGTGAATCCAAAGCTATTCTCTTCTATTTGAAAGCCAAGCATGCGTTAGGCTGCACTGGACCTGGGGATGTGGAGAGGCCCACACAAGGTCATTGCCACTGAGAGACGAATCAGATGATGACACCAGCTACTACTGCAGAGGTCTATAGGAGCCGAGGGCCCTAGAGGGGCAGATCTGCCCCAGGGCAGAGGCAAGTTCACCAAATGCATAGAAAGGGGTGAGGGCGGGACCAGAAGTGGGCGACAAGTCTGCAAAGGCCCTGGGCCACCTCTGTGACTGGCGGGGGAGCTTTCAGCTGTCCAGTTCTGGCATTCCCTCAGAAAGCCCATTTGGTTCTTACACCATCAGTGTCCTGCGACACAGATCTTACCAGTAACAGGGTTAACTTGGCCTCCAACCATCTTAGCCTTTGCTTAATTTCCAGCTGATTCTGTGCCCAGTGGAGAGGTCTACTAGTAAGGGAGGCCCTTCAAGTACCTCCAACAAGAGCAACCAAACACCTGAGCCCCTTTGAGATACCACTGCACTCTGCTCTTTACGGGCATATCTAGTGTCCCTGCAAAATGGGTTACTCTTCTCCGCACTTCACAGTTAAGATAATGGAGGCTCAGAGAAGTTAAGTGATTTGTCCAAGGTCATGAAGCTGGTAAGATGATGAGCCAGGATTTGAACCCACGTCTTCACAACTGCAGAATGAGCGCCGTGGGGTCATCATCTGAGTAAGAGGCTGGTACTGTACCAGAATCCACACTGTTAAACTTCCAGTCTGGTGCTCAAAGTGTCCAAAGTGCCCCATCCTGATGTAGGAGGAGCAAAGTAGGAGTTGGGAAGGATCTGGGACTCCCAGGAAGACAGCACATCCAATCCCAAGGTCCCTGTTTGTCAGCATCTCCCAGTCTGGGAATGTGCAGGATTCAGAGACTTTGGGGGAGATCTAGGGAAGACCTGCTGGGAGTGGGGTAGGCCCTGAGCCAAGCTGCAAAGGGGAGTTCTGGGAAGTAGGTTCTAACTCACAGCTACAAGGGCCTTTGATGACTTCAACCTGCATCCATTTTACAAGTGAAGCTACTTGTCATGCACAATTAGGCAGAGTCCAGAGTGCTACACATCTAGTGCCGTGAATGCCGTTACAGACGAGGCCTAGAGAGGTTAAGTGACGTGCCCAAGGTCACAGAGCAGGCAGGTAGAACTGGCTCTAAAGGGAGATGGAGGAAGAATGCTGATGGAGAAGAGGCTCACCATGGGGCAGATCCGCAGGGGCCCGGGTGCCAGGGTGGATCCATACTTGCTCCCACTGGAAGTCATCGTACTGAGCCTGGCTGTACTCGCAGGGCACTGCTGGGTCACTTGTCTCTTCGAAGGTGCAGCCAGCTGGGAGGACGGGGCTGGTTATCCAGGGCTAAGGCAGGGCTGTGGCCAGAAGGCTCCCCAACATTCCCCACTGCCCGCTCCTTCTACCCAGATGCCCCCTCCCTCCTCTTCACTCCTTCCCACCAGCAAAATTCTCCCTCCTCCATCCTTTTCTGCTCCCAAGGTCCCTCCCCACACTGTCCCCTCCTGAGACCTCTGGCACACGGTCCCAGGGCTTCCCAGACCCCACTGCATGACCACTCATCAAAACTCTCCTTAATAAAAATTAGCTGTTGCCGGACGTCGTGGCACACGCCTATAATCCCAGCACTCGGGAGGCTGAGGCAGGAGGATCGCTGTGAGTTCGAGACCAGCCTGGGCTACATAGTGAGTTCCAGTTCAGTCTCAACTACATAGTAAGACCCTGCCTCAAAAAAAAAAAATTAGTTGTTATTATTTTATCACTGTAACCTCACAACAACCATGAGATCAGGACTAGAATTATTCCCAATTTACAATGAAAAAACTGAGGCCTACAAAGCCTGAGTGACTTTCCTGGAGGTCACAGGGCAAGTGACAGAGACTGCTTTGAACAGAGATCTCCTGACCAACCGTACCTCAGTGTTCCTCCATCCTCACTGTGCCAAGCAGAGTGGGCCCCAGACCCTGCAGAATGCTGAATCCCCTAAGCCAGCTCAACAGTTATCTCCTTAAAGATGACAACAGTCACCGCCAAGGGTAGAACATGGCTGAGGCCTCACCTTCCGAGTCAGGCACCACTATTCCTACTTGATGGACAACAAGGGGATTCAGTCATGGTCCAAAGTCAATCAATCTAGGTCTCCGTTCACAGCAATTGACAAGCAAAAGCACTGTCCTAGGTGGCTTGCACACGTATGACTAGAGCAAGCAAATTCCCATGATTCAGAACCAATATTAACAGTTTAAATGGGAAAGTGAGGAAAGTAGGAAGACTGGCTTCGATGTGGCTCTTCTGGTTGGTAATGAGGTCCATACAGCTTAGCTAGCTTGTCAAAATATGCAGCAAGAGACTTCACTTTCAGGAAGCTGTGTTTTGCTATTGCAGCGGCTTCTCTGTGGGGTTATGTGGGTTACATGAAGTGGCCAGGCACTAAGGAGCTTGCCACCATTTGGGTCTCCCTTTGCTCTTCTTGGACACCAACCAAATGTAGAATGGTAAGATGTGGGCACGGGGCGGGCACCAAATAGTTGGAATGAAGTGCCGAGCTGGGGCCAGCCCCTGGAGGGACGCTTTGTCTCTTTGTTTGAAATGCCTTGGTCAGCACCATGCCCTGCGGTCTGTGCAAGGTGGCTTGTAACTCCATCTGTGCTAGGAGGCCTCAGAAAAAGGCCCACGGTACGGCATAAAAAGAGCAGTGGTCTGGGAGGGATTCATAGAGGAAGGGGATAGCTAACTTTAGCCTGGATGGGGCCTGACCCTGTGGGTCTCAGCCAATCACTGATCAGAGGGACTGAAGAAAGGGAAAGTCCAGGATCTAGGGCCCTGGCTGAGGCTCAGGTCCTTCCTGAGGAAGCTGTCCCGAGACATCTCACCAGGGCCCTGGGGTGGGCCTGGGAGTGTCAGCTCCTTGGCTGCCTCCTGTCCATCCTGAGCCAGCCCAGTGACCCCCCGGGGGACTCCCAGACCAACTGACCTCAGACTGTTGCCCAGACTGAGATCTCCTCAAAGCAACTCCAGACCATCTGACCTCAGCCAGAGAAATCCCCAGACTGACCCACGTTGGTGACCCTCACATAGGCTGAGAGCAGCCCCCCGCTAATCATCCCTTGTCAAGAGACCCAACTCATCCAGAGGATTCCCCCAGACTATCTGATGTAAGCCAAAATGAGCAGCAGAACAGCGGGCTCCAGCCAGAGAGAGCCCTGACCTCTGCCAAATGACCCCTGTAACTGACCACAGCCAAGGATGACTTTGCAGGATGACCGATTCCATCCAGAGTGACCCCTTAGCCAGAAAGACACCTCTCCCAGATCTACAACTCTCCCTAGCCACTGGGTCTCTGGCCAGGCCTAGTCCTAGCTCCAGCCCCTAGAGGTAACACCTCTGAGACCAGGCTCCCCAACCACAGCCCACCCTACCTCTCCCCAGCTCACCCAGTGACGGGGCTATCAGCTATTGCAGCAATTGGAAAGACCCTGTCACCTCCAGCCTGGATAGCTCAGGGACCAGGAGCCCCAAAGCCGTGTCCCATCTCTGGCTAGAGACCCAACTCCTACTGGAAACTGCTAACCTGTGAAGAAACTTAAGTCTGACTTTGATAGCCTGGAATCCCCTTGACTCCACCAACACAGACACATACATAGACCAACACCCACCAAGAGGGGGTACTGGTTACCATGATGCCATCCTTTGTGGGGGACTCCTGGGCACCTCAGAAGGTTGCTACTATTATCCTTCCCATTTTGCAGATGGAAACTGAGGCTCAGAGACAAGCAGTTGCTTGACCAAGGAGACAGTTACAGTGTAAAGAAGTTCAGATTTAAGCAGCCTCTCCTTATTCAAGGAGACAAAGCATAAACAAAATAAGGCCCTAATATGCTGTTGGCCACATGTATTAATTAGTTAGTTTCATACATAAGGTATTAGTACTTGTCAGTACACTGCAGTTCCCAGGGTGGCACTATTAGAGGCAGAAGATGATTAGGACTCCACCTTGCTTTCGGGGACCTCCCAGTCTGAGTGAGGGTGAGGAAAAGAGACAAAGCAGAAATGAGTGCAGGCTACAAGAGGGAAGGGGCTGGATATAAAGCTCCCTACAGAAAGCAGAGTCGAGCTGAAAGACAGAGATCACTCCAGCCAGTAGAGATGAGTAGGAGGGCAGGCAAGGCAAAAAAGGGTGGCATGAGCAAAGGAAGACAGTGGGTAAACAGTTCCTCCACAGCACAGAGGAGCCCAGACTGGCTGAGGCAATGGCAGATGAAACTGGAGGGAGGGGAAGCTGAGTCCAGATCGTGAAGAGCCTTAAGGGTCAGGGTGAGGAGTTCGGCCTCATTTTTAAGCGCCTGAAGCGCAGAACAGTGCCTAGTTTCTGATGAAATGAGCAATACAGCCTATCAACCACGAGCGGGGCAGGTGGTGTCTCACAGGATCAGGAAGGAGCTCAGGACCAAGCCACCACTCTGGAACTGGTGAGAAAGAGGCCTCAAGTCCCCACCCTGGATGCAAACAGCACACACCCCAATCACACTCAGAGAGGCGCACATTACACACACAGAGCAGCAGCAGCAGCAAGACACACATTCCTTATTTCACCAGCTAATCCAAGCCCTGGGGACAGAGTCTAAGTTTGCTTGGGAACTGGGAGAAGACCAGGCCCTCCTTAGACACCCTGTGTCCGCAGAGGATTCCCCCAAAGAGTGGGCTGAATCAACCCAGGACCCCACCAGTTTCCTCAGCCCCAGCTCAAACTGGCCCAGCTACATTCCTCAGCTAATCTCCCCAATCTGGCTGGCGGTTGCCCGAGCAACTGTCAGCCATTTGGGAAGGCAGGGATGGCTTTTCCACATCCGCTGACTGGGCTCTCTGGACAGGGCTCTGTGATGTCAGGAGCAGAGCAAACTCTAGAGGGGCGTGCAAGGGGTGTTCTGCTGGGAGGGTCTTCACACCTCCACATACGTGTTTCCATAGGTGATGCAAGTGTGTGCGTGTGTGCGCACGCGCACATGCCTATGAGTGACACAGTAACTGGTGCCCAGCACACCTCGGGAGTCAGGAGGCCTGAATCTTATTCCTGCTGCTCTCCTAAATCCCTCTGTGACCTGGGCAGGTGACTTGCCCTCTCTGAACCCATTTCTCCACCTATGAAATGACAACGGGGTCACCTCCATCGGGATCACGGTATATGAGTATGCCAAGTAAACCAAGAATAAGTGGAGGCAAAAAGAGGTCTGCCGGGGGAGAGGTGTGTGAGGCAGGGCAGGTGCTATGAGATTCTGGGTGTGTGGATTACACTCTGAGCAGAAGTTTCTGAACATACTCAGTGGCTGCATGTGTGAGCACCTTGTATACACCGTGTGAGCACCACGGCTCTGTGCACTAGACCTTCTTCACTCCAGAATGGCATCATAGGCTCACCTCATCTGCAGCCACCACTAGTGCTTTCTGAAGTCTCTGGGTAAGCTGACCCTGTTTGCAATGAATTTTCATTCTCTTTGGTTGGTCAACAGAACATCCAATTCCCAAGGGCAGCCCCAGGAGAAACAAAGCTTCTCCCAACAGACTGCAAAAGCCAGAGCTGGGATCTCATCTAACCCCATACACAGACTCAGTCCTGAGTGGGGAAGCCAGACACAATCCCGGTGACAATGCTGGCCTATTTCACCTTCCCTATTCTAAGCAGCTCAACCAGACATTTTTGCCCAGTCCAATGCTCCACTGTGACCCTCAGCTCCACCCTTCCTGAAGTCAGGACTGCCTCTCATGCTTCTGAACCCCATTCCCAAGCCATGTTTAGTGAATGACCAACAGCCCCAGACTTACGGACTCCACGATCACAGGCAGTGTGACCGTGAACAGCTGCACCCAGCTCAAAGACCATGATGAGCCCAGGGCCCTGGAGCCCACGCACCTGTTTCCTTGTCCAGATCAGCACATCCAGACTGAGGTCAGGGCTCCCAAAGCTGCCCACCAGAGCCCCAACTAACTGATGAGCAGCTAATTACAGGAAGGCTAGCAACAAGATCACCTTCTAACCGCCCAGGGTTAAGCTCGTCTGCAAGCAGGGAGATCACCCAGGGCCAGGCAACAGGCAGAGAAAGCTGAGCTGGCACCACCCACAGGAGCCAACAAAGAGCGTGACAATGCCAACATCTTACCGTCTCCATCAAGGATGGAACGACGTCCGCTGCAGCAGGAGGACTTACCCCAGACCACTCCCCATGTCCTAGTCCAGTGTGCACCGCAAATTCCAGCATGAGCAGCAAGGCTGCTGGATTGCCAGCGTAAGAGGAAAAGAGAGGTCATGGGTAGACACCATATAGAAATGAAGAGCCCAGTGGAGGGCCTCGCTATGTGGAAGTACAGGAGGCAGAGTTCACAGATCCCCTGTGGGGCACGGCTGCGGGTAGAGGGCATGGTGTGTGCACAAACTCATGTAGTGGGAAGATGTGCACTTTATAAAGGTTCCGTGGAGAGAGGGTTGTACACTACCATGATGAGGTGTGTTAAGCAGCAGCTTCCCACTGTACAGACACAGGATCTAGTTATATGATGTGAGGGAGCAAAGCACAAGATGTGCACGGCCCCTGGTACAGACACCTGTACAGCATGGAAAAACCAGTCAGGGTCCTGAAGTAGCACAGAAGTGCCACATTCATGATGCAAACCAGTGCTGCGTGATGGGTGTGCAGAGAATGCAGGGTGGAGAGTAAGCCTTACTAGTCCTTCTCCCTCTCCGGTCACCAACACAGGACCCGCACAGAGCAGGAGCTCCATGCTGTAGGTGTACCCAACACAGGCAGGCGGAACAGCACAGAATTACAGAGAAGGAAAGGACACAGTGCCATAGAGAAGCAGCTATTGGGGGTTAACAGCCCAGTTCTGGACAGAAGCTCAGTACATACAGTCTTGAGGAGCACAGGAGGTGCAGACCCAAGGATTAGGTAGAAAGTGACACAAAAACAAAGTGCAGTGGGGTGTCTTATAGCCATAACAGAAGAATGACACCATGTTATCCGCAGGAAAATGGATGGAATTAAAGATCATCACGTTAAGTAAACTAAACTAGACACAGAAACACCAATGGCACATTTTCTTTCATATGTAGGGTCTGAGAGAGGAAGGGACGAGGGAGAGGAGGAGGCACGGAGGGAGTACAGAGATGGAATGAAAGAATGAAAACGAATGTAGAAGGGAGACTATTATCAAAGAAGAAGAAGGAAACAAGGGGAACACGGGAGGGAAAGGAAAAAAGGTAATGGGGTAGGGCGGGGAATTTCTCAGTGGTTCTGCTGCCTGCCTCGCCAGCACAAGGGCCCGAGTTCAGTCCCCGGTACCAAAACAAAACAAGGTAATGGGGTAGAAATGATCAAAGTATGTTACATGAATGTATGAAACAGCCAAGATGAAATTAATCTATACAACAACTTTAAAAAATATGAAGTGTGGTGAAGTGATGTGTGGAACAGTAGGTTCAGTTCAAGAACTCTCGGACTGCAAACGTAGTAAAATGCAACCATCCCTATAGGAAGCAGACACAATGAAAGGCCGAGGCACTCAGCAGAAATCACTGTTGCAACACTGGGTACGGCACAGTGGCGCAGCCTACAAAAGCTCAACCCAGTCCTGAAGCCCAACAAAGTGGCCCCAAGCTGCAGTGCATGGTTCCTGAGACAATGTGCAAGGTGGGGCAGAGGTACAGTGCAGTGAGGACAAAGATGCTCCCAGCAGAAACCTGGGAAAGGACACTAGCAGACACCTGGTGGTAACACAAGCAGCAAAAGACTGAGGCAGCACAGCGGGCAGCGTCACAGCAGCTGTGGAGCAGTGTAAGGGCTAGGCCAGAAGGCATGCATCCAGCGCAGCGCCAGGCAGCGAAGCGAGGGGACAGAAGTGCTGCATGAGGCAAAGGTACACTGGCCTTATAAGGTGCAAGAGTGGAATGCTGATGCGCTGTCCACGGAATCGGGAGCCACGTGCCACGGGCGGTGCAAGTGCCCACTGCAGAAGTGCTTGAGGACAGAGATGCAGAGGCAGTGTTGTGACAGCGTGCCATCTATGGGAATGCAGTTCTGCAGCACGAGGCGCTATGCCCAAAGCCCAGGGGAGTCCACACGCCCAATGCAATGTAGACTGCCCGGCAGGGCACTGCAGTGTGAAACAAAAATGGCCTACTGTGCAAACACTGCGTTATAGAGCCACGTGTGGGTCTCAGGTGTAGTGGGGGGAAGGGCCTCCTGTAGACAGCCAGGAGAATCCATCCCCTGATGCAACCCTGACTTTCAGTAGAGTGCGACAGCACAAAAGAGAGCTGCAGAGACAGATGGCAGGACAGCTGCAAGGAGGCCCAGTACAATGGGACCTTGTGAAGGTGAAACACACGGGAACTCTGGAGAGCCCCCCATACCCAGTGCAATGTAGAACCCACTGCAGTCAGGCAGTGCAGGGCTGAGCTGCAATGCCCTGTAAAGATGCTGAGTATGAGAACCCCAGGCCACACACACCCCGAGCAGGCCAGAGCTGTGATGCAGCGCAGCTTGGAAGTGTTGAGTAAGCGATGACGTGGCACACTGCAAAGTGCTCAAGGAGGGCTGCAGATGTCTCCCTGGGACACACTGGCAGGGAGAGGAACCCAGACTCCTGGAAAACCCTGTGCCCACAGCACTGCTGGCTTACCCCTGTAGGTTGGGAGCCCAGGCCTATCTGCCCTGTGAGCTTCCTCCCATCTTGACCCCCACCCTCCAACCTCCTCCACCCCAGAGACTCTCTAAGGACAGAGGACGAAGCCACTGCCACCCATGGGGCAGACGGTCCAGAACTGAGCATGCTGTCCAGGCGTTTATATCTGAGCAGGGCCCCAGCATGTTGGCCAGCTTAAACAGTGAATGTGACTCTGCTAAAAATCTTTTGGCCAATTAAAGCTCATCCCCTGTCTCCTAACCCAGCACAGGGCAGTGTGGGGCAGGGCAGGGAGACAGAGAGGAAGACCTGCTGGATTAGACCCTGGCACAGGAAGTGAGATGATCAAGAGGGAGGATATAAGAGGAGAGCCAGACCCAACCAACCTGGCTAGTCACTCCCTCCCCTGCCACCCCACCACTGTCACCTCCTCCCAGGCCCTTCATCAGAAGCCAGGAACAAGCTTTTCTGAGCACTCAGGAGGCCTATACATACTCATACACACACTCCACAGTAGTAATACTTAAATGCTTACAATGCACCAGGACCTGCTCCAGACGTAAGCATAAAACAGCCTCACAACAGCCCCCTGAAGTGTGTTCCGTTATCATCCCCACTTCCCAAATGCAAACTCCGTAACACCCAGACAGGTCAGTACTGGACCAACGGCCGCATGGCTAGGAGTGGTGGATCCAGGATTAGAACTCATGTGGTGTGGCCCATGAGCCCATGCTCTTAACCAGGACACTTTAAGAGCAAGCACACTTACATATATATACAACCACAGGGATACACACACACAACCACTAGGATCCACAAACACACAAAATCACAAGGACACACACAAAGGCACGTTCTGAGCAACATCCTTGCCATCTCAGTTAAATTGTCATCTCTTATCCCCCAGCTGTCCCCCACTCTCGGTTGTTCTCCCAACACCACCTGCCCCTCACTGCCAGCTGTCCCATTCCCCAAATTTATGTCCATCATTGGCTATCTCCTAGTCCCCAACTGTCCGCCAGCTCCCAGCTGTCATCCCTACCCAGCCACGGTCTTGCCCATCAGATACCTGCAACAATACTCCTTTCTGCTACCCCATCCCAATCTTTCTCCCAGCTTTTGTGCCCCTAACTCTCACATCTCAACAGCGTCCCCCTCCAAGCCTGCTTTCTCTTTACCCCACTGATTCACCACTTGGCTCTGGGGTCTGCACCTTGGGAATTATGCCCAAGCCCTCCAGAGTCATCCAGTAGTAGTAGCTGTTAAATTGGCCACTTCAGGGGTCCTCCCCTAACCATGCTGCAAGCAATAACATTCCCTGCCTGGGGCCACACCAGGAAGTCTACTGCCCCACCCCTCCGGGGCCCAGGACCTTCCTCCAGTCCCTCCCAGCCCTCCCCATGCACCCAGAGGTTCAGAATGATGCAAACACTAGTGAACACCTGCCCCAAACACAGCTCTGGGGACCAGAGATGACAAAGCTGGGTACTCAGGAGGCTTAGTGAAGAAAAGGGACAGAAAACAAAAGTCATGTGGTCATTCAAGCACTAAGGGAGAAATATGATCACCGCCTCAATCTGACCAACTGCCTCAGGAGGACCTGCAAAGCCTTCACTGCTCAAGAGATGATGGAGCTGGACTTGCGAAAAGAAGGAGGCAGCTCTTGGCAGAAGGCACAGTGCGGGCAAAGACAGACAGGTGTGAAAGGGCCTGGCAAGATCCGAGGTCCTGGGTCACAAGGAAGAGAAGCAGGAGTAGGGTAAGGAGAAGAGAGGCAGAATGTGAGGTTGTCTCGGAAAGAACTAGTGGTCAGGCACAGTCTCGGCTGCCATGTGAGGGTTTGGGCCTGGCCTGGGTGCTGGGAAGCCTTGTGTCTGGGCCAAGCACATGGTAGCACAAGGCTTGTACCTACAAGGCATTCCGGTCACAGTGATGGGAGCACTGCAGAGCCAGAGGCTGAGGGCAGAAGAAAGGTCAAGGAGTGGTTACTGCAACAGTCCAAGTGAGAAACAGTGAGGCCAGCAGGAGGGAGGCGGAGCACTTTTTTCAAGGACCACGGAGTGATGGTCCATCTATTGTAGACAGCTAAATTAGTCAGAAATATTACAGGCAGTTAGACAGGGCTGGGCCACAAGAGTGGTCAAAGCCACTAGAATGGCGTTCACTGAAGAAGGGCTTTTTCACTGAAGGCCAGGCTTTGAGACAGAGAGAACTGACTACACGTCCCCTGGGGATGAACAGCAGTGACTGATACTCTAAATAGGCATCAATCACCTTGGGTGGGGAACCAAAATCTCCCTAGCCCAGTCCTTCCAGGAAAAGTCCTGGGGTTGGGTGGGGTGTTTCATGTAGGCTTGCTACCTGACCTGTTTCCCCATCCGATCCCTATTTAATCAATATTACCTAAGCAACTATACTTGTAATCTCATTGGTTGACCATAGTTTTTTCCCACCTCATACCCATCTTGTGATTTTCCAACTGGATCAATATTACCTAAGGGACCATACTTGTAATCTTATAATTGACTATAGCTTTGTCCTGCCTTACATTCATGTCACCTTGTAGTTTTGCTCTATAAAACTCCCTTGAGAAGTGGGGCTCTTGGGTAACCCACTTTCTTGGCCCCTCTGTCTCTCCTAGATAGAAGCTATCTTTCTCTCAATAAATTCTTCCTACTCTCAACCTCTGGTGTTCCTAGAGTTCATTCTTTGATTTTAGAGAACATGAATGCAGAGTGACGGACATCTAGCAGGTGGGAGTTACAATATTTCCCTTATATCATTTGGAGAACCATATATCACATGCCCTATATCACATCCAGACTGGCTCCACTCCCTGGGGAGCCCACACCTCACCTTCCTCCCCACACACAACCAGCACTGCCACAGAACTTTCTGCCATGGTGGAAATGTCTTCTGCCTGCACTGACCGGTGTGATGACAGCCATTAGCAACATGTAACTCTTGAAGACTTGAAACCTGCTAGTGCAACTGAGGGATTACACTTTTACTTTAATCACATTTAACTAAGTTCAACAGTCACAGGCGACTAAGAAACCACTGTGCTGCAGAGCGCAGAGATTTGCATCCATGTAGCAAGTGCCACTGGATAAGACAACTCTTATCCAGAGGAGCCACGGAAACTCAAAATCGGGATGTGGCCACCTGTCCCCCCAACACCCTGATCCTCCCACACCCAGAGTGGACTCCGCTCCCCAGAATGGAGACCCTGCCACCCAGACAGCTCTGCACCAACTTCAGGAAGGGGACGCTCAGCCCTCCGAATTTCAGGCTCCTCAATTGTTGCCACCCTCCTCTAAACAGACCCTGCCACAGCAGGGTGATCAGAGGGCTAGACACCTCGACAGGACTCACGTATCCCCTATGTCCCACGCCCCAATCATACACACATGCCTCCCTGTGGCTGCCCAGGTGCCAGTCACACCCACACTTTCATGG